AGCTGGGCCCACGTGGGCAAGGAGAGGCTGGAAGGTGGGAAGGTGGACCCAGGGCCACCTGCTCGCATGAGGCTGGCCTGGGCCGACCCCACAGGGAAGGCAGGGGCCGACGTGAGCAAGGAGTCGTGTGCAGTGCTGCCGAGGGCCATCATGTGGGGCCCTCCGTGGGTGAGAGACCAGCCAGGAGATACACTTGGGGAGGTGGAGGCAGGCCATGCCTCCCATTTAGCAGATGGTGCCACTGAGGCCAAACCTCCAAGCCTAGCCTTGTGGCTAGCCCGGGGCATGCTGGGTCAGGGAGGAGGAGGCCAGTTCCAGACACACACGCAGCGCGAGGTGGTGGCTTCCCTGCACTGCCCCCGTCCCCACCATGACCGGGCCAGCCAGTGCCCACCCCTACGTGCACACACGCAGCCCGTGGGGCAGGGCTTTCTGTCTCTGAGCTCGATCTTGGCCTTGCGGAGTGCTGGTGGACGTGGGTGTGGACACCAGCAGGGGCCCTGGCCAGCTGTGTCAGAGGGCATCAGTCTCTCCACTGTGCCTGGCCCTGGGTGTGACCTCAGTGTGCGGCCTGCTTCCGCCGCCATCCGGGTCCCCGTGCCCGGGTGCCCGGTTCTGCTCCAAGTACAGCCTGGCACCGCCGTCCTCGAACAGCCGCAGGGAGGTCAACTGTCCGCTCTTGGCCCGGCCGGCGGCGGGGAGGGGGCGCGGCCTGTCCCCCCTCCCACCCGCACTGAGTGGAGTGCCGGGGCGGGACCCCGCCCTGCTGGAGGCCCCCACTGCCCCTGCCTGGTGCCAGCCCCCTGCCGTGGAGGTGGGGGGGGGGGGGAGTGGGGGGCCGCCCCCCGGAGGTGGCAGAGTGATGGGAGGGACGCCCAGAGGTGGGACCCGGGAGATCACCTGTAAGAGGAGGTGGGGGGTCCCGCCCAGGAGGGGCCTCGCAGGCCAGGCAGGCAGTGCTGGCTCAGCCAAACCAGCGTCCCCAGAGAAAATCCCGGCCCTTTTACAGATGAGGAAACCAAGCCCACGATGGGCCTGGCCCTGCGCAACTGGCAAGAAATACCTGGGGGGGGGGGGGGGGGTCTTGTGCTGGACACTGGGTCTCCCTCACCGGCGTGGGCCAGGCTGCTGGCACTGGCTGCCCGAGCCAGGCGGCCCGGGGCTGCCGAGTGGGGGGCTGCCCGGTGGGGGGCTGCATCTCAGCTCATGTCGGCCGCTGGTGGCCTGGCTGAGGAGGAGCAGGCGGGGGGCGCAGTGGATGGGTGGGCAGCTGGGCATGGCGCTTTCCGGCGCATTCCGGGGCTTGCGGATGGTGTCTGTTGCTCTGTCAGCAGGCCCAGGGGTTGGCACTGACCCGCGCATCCCCATTCGAGGACTGCGGCCAGAGCTCTGGGAGGTCCTGTGGCTGGTCCAAGGGACGCAGCCAGCCAGCGGCGGAGCCTGATCCCAGCCAGAGCCTGAGCCGTCCTCTGCCCTCGGGGCCCTGGTAGTGCCGGGCGGCCCCTCCCCCCGCCTCAACCCGCTGCTTTGTCCTCCCTGCTCCTGGGCAGGAAGCCTCCAGCTGGGACCGGGGACCGGCCAGGGGCAGGGACTGCCAGGGCGGGCAGTGGGCAGTCTTGAGCCCTACCCCAACACCCCGAGGCCTCGGCAAGCACACACTGCCGGGCCCGAAGCCTGAAGTCTCTGGCCAGCCCTTCTCCCTGGGCACCGAGTGTCCTCCCAGCCTGGGAGAGGCCTTTCCTGAGGACGGCAGGGAGACAGAGGAGGGACATGGGGCCTCCCGAAGGAGGCATCTCTGAGCTGCATCTGGTCTTGAGGGACAGAACCCAGGGAGGAGGGATTCTGGTGGCCTGAGGTCTTCCTGTGGCCCAGCAGAGCCCCTGTGGGCGGAGGCTGTGGCCTGGCGCGGGGCCTGCGGGCGGTCCAGCAGCCCCAGAGTCAAAGGCCACCCTGCCACCTGGGGGCCTCCGGTTCCTCACAGGCAACACAGGTCTGTACTTGTCACTGTCCTCCAGCGATCACTGTTGGAACTGGCTCAGCCACGGAAGGCAGCGGTGGCCGCCGCTCACCTCCTCAGCCACCCCATGCCACCCTCCTGTGCTGAGGTAGGCGGGCGGCACCCGCCCCTCACGCCTCCGGCCACCAGGCGCTGGACCAGACCCCTGGGAGTGTCAGAGGGGACCAGCCCCCTCCAGGGACTCCCACTGGGCCTGCCCTTCAAGCAGCTGGGGGAGTGGAGGCCTGGTGACAGCAGGAGGTGAGGGCAGACCCAGTCCCTGCCAGCTCCCAGCGCAGGTGGAAGCGAAAGCTCGGCTTCCTGGCGTGGGTGCCTCCACCCCTTCCTGTTCTTCCCCACCCAGCAAGCCATCCGCTGGGGTCAGGGGGACACCCAGACCACCCCAGCCCGGTCCCAGAACCTCCTCCCAGGGAACAGGGGCAGGGGAGGGATAGGGGAGGGGCAGGGGTGGGGCAGGGGCGGCATCAGCAGTACCCCCCCCCCCCCCCGCCCCCGCACAGGCGTTTCCTGTTTGCCAAGTCCATCCCCCACACCAGGGCAGCCCTTTCTGTGGCTTCTTTCCTAACCCAGGAGGGTGGGACCCACGGAGGATGCAGACAGGCCCGGCCTGGGCTCTGTGTCTGACCTCACTCCCACCTGCCCCCAGATCCTGGTGGCATAGTGCCTGGCCTCCCTGGTGACCTGAGCTGAGCCCTGTTCCCTCTGAGATTTGGGGCCTTTTCTGTCTTTCTAATTATGACAAAGACCACATTCACCCCAGATGCAACTTCTGTTAGCATTCAGGCGTGTGTCTTGTGTGATATGTTTTATGGTTGAAATCCTACACAGTACGGCTTGGTGTCCTACTTCCTGTCTCTGTTTTTAATTCAACACTGCTGTGAAGGTCTTGGCGCCCACCCGCCTGCAAGCCGCCCCTTCTGTCTTATTGCCGGATGCTCCGGCGGCCGGGCCGGCCTCCTCACACACAGCGGGGCATTCAAGGTGAGGGCTTGGGAGGCATGGATCTTGCACCCCGTGCTGGGACTGCAGGCAGCAGGGGGTTGGAGCTTGAGACAGAGGGGCGGCGACGGAGGGGGGGGGGGCGCGGGCGGCGGGAGGACTCTGCCCCTTGGCCCAGGTCCTCCGCACTCTGTGCCTGCGGGTGGGCAGGTGATGGGCTGGCACTCTGGTGTTCCTCCTTCTCCAAGGCCCACCGTGCACTGGACCCCCACCGGGGATGAGCCCGAGGGCGGGTGACCCACCCAAGCCCCTTGGGGGCTTGCAGCCTGGTGGGTAAGGCGGTATGCGCCCGAGGCTCAGAAGGAACCAAGGTCTTGGAGGGAAGAGAATGAGATCAACCTCAGGGGCTTCCCCAACCCTGCCGGGCCCCGGCTGCCCCTGGGCTCCGGGGGAATTGCCGCTGGAAACACAATCCAAGGGTTACCAGGCAGTGGAAAAATTCGGAGCTAAAAATACAGCGTGGCAGCCCCTGCCTCCAGTTCCGGAACCCCGCTCCTACCATTTTACCCGCCCTCCCCAAGGAAGACAAGCTCGCTGTTTGCACCCCGCCCCCGCCCTCACTGGCTCTGGGCCCAGAAGCACCCCAGCCCTAGTGGGGATGTTGGCAGGGCCGCCCCTCTCACAGGTGCCCAAGTCCCCAGCCTGTGCCTTCCCAGGCCCTCACGGCCCGCCCAGGGCCCCCAGCCCCTCCTCCAGCCCTCGCAGGGATCTAGGAGCAGAAGGCCAAACCCCCTCCTCCAGGGCGCCGAACTCCGGCACTTAGTGCGGGCTTCCCCGCCGCCACACGCTGCTGGAAGCCCCCTCCCGCCCCTGGGCCCATGCAGGGGCCTCCCGGCAGCCGTGCCCAGGACATGGCTTGGTGCCCGGTGCCCGCCTCAGGAGGCTCTCCTGCTCAGGCTCGGTTTCCCTATTTGCGTAGCAGGGGCTGGTCTCTGAGGTGGGGGGGGGGGGCAGCTCTGACCCTGCCCCCGCCCCCACGCACACAGCTTGACAGACAGGCAGGGGCGGTGGCTTGCCGTGAGTCAGCACAGCTGCCCGGGCCTGTGGGCGCCGGGATGTAGGTGCGGGCAGAAAGGCAGATGGGTGCGCGAGGAGGGGCCAGGAGGACCGGCGTCCAGTCTCCTCCAGGTCCTCGAGTCAGCAGCGCGGGCCGTGAACGCGCGTGAGCCGTGGGCTCACCCAGGAGAGCTCGGAGGGAGACCTTGCCTTCGGGGGTCACAGTCTGCAGGGGGAGGCGTGGCCCCGCCCCAGTGGGAACCCCACGTTATTGGTAGAAAAACTCGAACGCTGGAGAATCTCGGGCGACATCACACTCCTGCGGGAGCCCCAGCGCCTTCCTCTGCGGAGTCCCTCTGGTGCAGGGCTGGGGGTGGGGGGGCGGACTGCCTGGGGAGGGGGCACCTCCCAGCTGCCCTAGGTCCAGGGTAAGGCCTCAGCCGCCTCCGGGGGCTCGGGCCCTGGAGACCCTCGTGCTCTACGGCGGGCGGTGCTGGCTGCAAAAATTCTGCGAATGCAAATTCCTGCGCTGGCCCCGCCCCCGCGCGGATGGGGGCCCCGAGAGCGCATTCCTGAGCGTGTGGCCCCGCCCCCGGCAGGCTGGCCACGCCCCGCCCGGCGGGCCTGAGTCTGGGAAGGTCCCTGCGACCCCGCCCTGTCTCGGCGCCGGGCCTGGCTGGGGGCCCGCCACTCAGCCCACGAGTCGGGCAGGGCCGGACGCCCGGGGACGGCGTTACGACAGCCGCAGCGCTCCCGGGCGCTCGCCCTCCCCACCAGGTCCAGCTTCTCCCCTGGCAGCCCCGCAGCAAGCGTCACTGTACAGATGGAGAACAGAGGGGCAGAGGGACTTCCCCGCGGCACACAGCCAGCGAGCGAGCCCAGGAGCCTGGCTTCTGGCTCCCAGCATGCTGCCTCCCACGCAGGTCCCCTCGCTGTCCTCCCGAATCCCTCTGGGGCTCGGGGCGGAAATGCTCAACCGCCACCCGGATGGGAACGAGCTGTTTATTCTGAGCCGCTTCAGGCAAAGAGTCGGTCACCACTGGCGTTTGTCAGACTCGAGGCAGGCCGGAGGGTGGGAGCACTTCGTATTTTAGTTCCATGTATATATGTTCGCTGTTAGTGTGGACGTGCGTGTACAATGTATGCGTGCGGTGCATATTTTTTAAGCATTCGTTTTTAAAAATTACTGTATTTAAAATTTTTATTGTATAATTATTTATTATTATTAAAATTATTTATGTAAGTAATTTCTACACACAATGTGGAGCTCGAACTCACCACCTTAACTGAAATCAAGAGCCAGAGGCTCCTCTGACTGAGCCAGCCAGGCGCCCCACATCTGTACTTCTTATATATAATTGTTGCCATGTATGTGTAATATCATGTGCACACGTATGAGGTATTCACGTAGTACGTACACGTTACACGATATGTGCTTGCTGGGCATGTGTCATATTATGCACATTAACGTACATGTGCAGCCTATGTACGTAGTATAGAATACATGCGTTAATTATCACTATGTAGTACATATAATATCTATGTGTATACGATGTATACGTGTAGTACATGGGTTCTGTAGCATGTATATGTTAATATGTGAAAGTATTTTCTATGTATAGAAAGCTTCGTTGTAGGAAAAAGGGGGGCTCAGGGGCCCCCCGGGGAGGGGCTGGGGGCCTGGGGAAGTGGGACAGCCCGCGTGATCGCTTGGGGAGTGCGCTCGGCTTTCTGGTTGGTCCTCAGGTGGACGTGGCAACAGCAACCGTGGAAGCCGTCATCCAGCCCCGGCCATGTGGGACACTGTCCCAGGGTGGTTGTGCATCAGAGAGCGAGGTCCGACTTCCCGCAGGTCTGCCGTGGAGACAGCGGGCTTCCTCCTGGGCTGTGGCTGCAGTTTGTGGGTCGGGTTCTGTCCTGGTGTCTGGCCGCCGTCCATCCGTGTATTCAGGAGCTCGTCCTGAAGGGCAGTTGGAACATTTCTAGGGAGTCATCCTCCACCCAGGACCTAAGCAGGTGGGCCCTGGATGAGGCCAGGCAGCCTGGTGGCATCACAGAGGGAGAAAAGTCATCCCTACCCACAGCTGAGCTCACTCTCCTAGTTGGACGCCCTCTCCATACTGGGCCACAGCCCGGTGCCTCGTGGGGCATGGCCAGCTTGTGAAACTCAGCTCCGGGGCACACAGCTTAGGATCCTTCGTGGACAGGCCGGTGGATGGGCCGGTCGCCTGCTGCTGTGGTCCCACCCACCCCACCCCCACGGGCCAAGGGAGCCCCCCCAGGTGGGGTCCCTTGGGGTGGAGAGCCCGTGGCCGCCAGGAGCCCGGTGGGGCGCTCTGGGCCACGCAGGCTGGCTCTGAGAGGTTGTTTTCTGCATCTAGGGACCCCTGGGGCTCTTGGCCGGGGAAGGTACTTAGGATGCTGGAGGCCTGGCCTGGGAGAGGTCATGTTCCAGCCACTCAGCCTGTGCCAGGGAAACAGGGACTTGGGCCAGTGGGGCGGGGGTGGGGGCGGGGAAGGCAGGGTCAGTCCCGACTGCGTCTTTAGGCAGCAGCACCCGAGGTGCGTGGCAGCGTGTGCGAAGGCCCCTCTGCTGTGCTCTTCGTGGTGGTGGGAGCGGCCCCCTCCCCTGCCACCAGGAGGCCGCCCAGGAGGGACCAGAGCCACAGCCGGCAGCGGTCAGCAGGGATGAGAAGCCAGGAGCGTGTGAGGGGCGGCCCGCGGCAGGGCCTGGAATGGGTGGGCAGAGGCAGCCGGAAGGTCTTGCGCATCTGGGTGAGTGGACGGTGAGGGAGGGGGTAAGAGGGCCGGGCTTGAGGGAGCAGGTGGGCTGTGCGGTCACAGGGAGGGCTATAAGGGCTCCTGGGGGACGGTGACCGCCACCCGGCCACCCCCCTGCAAGGACACCGCACCCACTCCCTCTCAGGATGCCCCCAGTAGGCTGATGCAGAAATTCAGGCGAGGAAAGGAGGCTCAGACGGCTCGAGTGGCCGGTGGGCCCAGAGCCGTTCCTCACCCCCCCCCGGCCGCCCCACTGGGGGACCCCAGGGGCCTGTCGGGCAGTCAGCCAGGCAGGAGGATGAGGGCCTCGGTGGGGGTCTGGGCCCACTGCAAGCAGGAGGGGCTGCTGAAAGGCCAGGCCAGCCACGCCAGTGGGGGGAGGGGGGGCGCCCGGGAAGCACAAGGGACAATACCCAAGAGTCACCAAGGCAGAGGGGGCGGGAGGCCTCCAGCTGCACCACAGTGAGCACAGAGGGCCCAGATCCAGGCCTGGGACAGGCCCCTGGGCTCTCGACCCCGCTCGGCCTGCATCTCCTACATATGACCTCAGATGGTCCGTGGGGTCTCCCCCCGACTTACCAGGTCCCGCAGCCCTGAGATCGAGGCCAGGTTGGACGGCCAGCCTCTCCCAGCCCCCCTCGGACTGGAGTGCAGTCTCACTCAGCCCTGCCCTTTACAACAGGGGGGCGGTGGGCATGTGACCGCGCTTCTCTGGGTGCCTCCCCCGTTCCTGTCCTGTCAGGTGGGCGCGGTGGGGGGCTGGGGGGCTGTCGCGTCCCCAGGCGCGAGGCGTGACAGTACCGCCGCGCTCTGGTCTTCGGGCTCCCTCTCGGCAGCCCCGTGCTGTCCTTCTCAGGCTCTAAATATAAAACCTGAGCCATACATGGTCGCGGAGAGCCTGGGCTGCCCCTGACTTTTGAGGCCGGTCCCCAGAGGCCGCGGTCCGGGACGGCGTCATCACCGAGGGGCCGGAGGAGGGGGGCTTGCCGGGGGTGGCGAGGGCGGAGGCACAGCCCGGCCTCTTTAGGGGAAAGGTGTGTGTGAGGGGACATCCGGTGCTCCGTCCACGTTGGTTGGCAAACGCAGGGCCGCGGAAGCTAGGGCCTGGCAGGCTGTTTCTCCGCAGGGAGGGCCTGCGATTGGGTGGGCACCGGGCATGACCCTCAAGTCAGCCCCTTCCCCGGCACACGCCTGAGGCCTGGAATTGCCCCGCTGTGCCTATCTGACCCTGTCCACTGGGCAGGGGAAGTGCCCCGGGACAAGATAAGGGAGCCCCGGAGACGCCACTTTTGTTCCATCATCACCGCTGGGTCAGTGGTATTCCTGCCGGTGTAGCCGCCTCGAGGCCCTCGGGTGGGCGGGGGACGCTGCTGTCAGCCCAGCCGCTGTGGCCAGGAGCGCCTGGCACGGAGGAAGCCCGGGGGCGGTGGCAGCCCAGACGGGGCGAGGGTCTGCCCGCAGCCCTCCCCCCCCCCCCCGCAGGGCAAACCCAGCGGGCCGGCAGGGATACTGAGGCAGGGGACCCCGCCCGCACCGGCCCCAGCCTCTCCATCAGTGGGGCACCCGGGGCGCGGAGTTGGGCTCGGGACTGACGCTCCCCTCCCTCCGGCCCTGCAGTTCGGCAAGATGTCGGTGAAGGAGGGCGCGCAGCGCAAGTGGGCGGCGCTGAAAGAGAAGCTGGGGGCCCAGGACTCGGACCCCACGGAGGCCAACCTGGAGAGCGCCGACCCCGAGCTGTGCATCCGGCTGCTGCAGATGCCGTCCGTGGTCAACTACTCGGGGCTGCGCAAGCGTCTGGAGAGCAGCGACGGCGGCTGGATGGTGCAGTTCCTGGAGCAGAGCGGCCTGGACCTGCTGCTCGAGGCCCTGGCGCGCCTGTCCGGCCGCGGGGTGGCCCGCATCGCCGATGCCCTCCTGCAGCTCACCTGCATCAGCTGCGTGCGCGCCGTCCTGAACTCGCAGCGGGGCATCGAGTACATCCTCAGCAACCAGGCCTACGTGCGCCAGCTCTCCCTGGGTGAGCCGCAGGCTGCCGGGAGGCCAGGCCGGCACAGACAGCCCCTTAGTAACTCTGGGGGAGGCTCCAGGCCCCGGAGGGCAGCGGGAGGGCTGGGGTCACAGGAGAGAACTCAGCTGGGCAGGCAGGGAGGGCTTCCCAGAGGAGGAACCGGGTTCGCATCGGCCCCAGGTCCGGGACGTCCAGGTGACCTTGGAGCCCTGGTCCTCCACCGGCCGCACCTGGTTGCCCGGTCTGTTCTGTGACCCTGCCCGGCCTTTCCGCCCAGCCCTGCGCTTGTTGGGGCCCCACCCTCTTCCCCCCGGCTCTGCCTACACCACTCCCACCACCTGCCACCCAGGTCCGGGCCCTGGCGGCTGGAGTCCCGCTTGCCTTCCACCTGGCTCCGAGCCCTTTGAGCCTCGCCGGAACCCCAGCCCTTGCCGATGGCCTCTTCCTCCCCCTTCCCCCACACCCCTGCCCCTGCCCATTCTGTGCCCTCTCCAACCACCTGGGGCTTCACCTCCAGCTCAGGCTGCTCTCTGCCTTCGTGTGCCTGCTGATTCCTTAAGTTCTTTTTTTATTTTTTTTAATGTTTATTTATTTTTGACGGGGAGACAGAGAGAGAGAGAGAGAGAAAGAGAGAGACAGAGCATGGGTGGGGGAGGGGCAGAGACAGAGGGAGACACAGAATCTGAAGCAGGCTCCGGGCTCTGAGCTGTCAGCACAGAGCTGGACGCGGGGCTCGAACCCACGAACCGCGAGATCATGACCCGAGCTGAAGTCGGACGCTTCACCGACTGAGCCACCCAGGCGCCCCTGACTCCTTAAGTTCTGACTCCCGCTCCCCTCCTCCAGGAAGTCTCCCAAGGCTGCGCCCAGGGTTGGTCTTCCACCCTTGAGAGCAACCTCAGGTGGCCCTTAGTGAGCAGGGATCACTGTGTGTCCCTTGCCTGCCAGGCTGTGCTGCTCCATGGCAGCACCCGGGCCCCACGATGCTTGGGGCTCCAGGAGGGGCCAGTGACGGGTGAGTCGGCCCGTGGGGTGGGCGAGTGCCCGTGTGGGTGAGCAAGCCACAGGCCACCTCGTTCCTGCCCTACCCAGCCTGGGCTTGGCTGTGCCCCCTGTGCCAGCTCGGGGGATAAGGTGGGAGGCAGGGGGCCATGAGGACGACGGGGCATCCCAGGCTGTCAAGCACAGTCGGTACTGAGTTTGATGGAAGCATGGGTTCGGCCCAGGGCCGTGTGCTAGCGTGGCCCTCGGCAGATCCAACAGGGACCCCTCTCAGAACTGAGGCCCAGTCCAAGTGGACCCCCGCCTGCGAGCCCGTGCCTGCGGGGTCTGCCTCTCTGGTCCTGGAGGCGGGTCTGGGCACCTGGGGAGGCCAGCCTGGGAGGTGGCCGGTGTGCCGGTGCAGGGCGCCCTCTGGTGTCCACCTGCGGAAGTGTGAGTTCAGCTCAGACAGGCCCGGGGGTGGGGGGACCAGCCCAGGAGGGGAGAGGGGGGAGCCGGGCCTGGGGGCCTGGGCCCCCGCTGACACTCCCCCACAATCCCCCGCCCCTCGGCAGCTCTGGACACGTCCAACGTGATGGTCAAGAAGCAGGTGTTTGAGCTGCTGGCTGCCTTGTGCATCTACTCGCCCGAAGGCCACATGCTGACCCTGGATGCCCTGGACCACTACAAGGTGAGCCTCGGGGGACCCTGGGGCCTCGGTGGGCCCGGGGCACGTGCTGACCCCTGCCCGCCCTGCAGACCGTGTGCAGCCAGCAGTACCGCTTCAGCGTCATCATGAATGAGCTCTCGGACAGCGACAACGTGCCCTATGTCGTCACCCTGCTCAGTGTGATCAATGCCATCATCCTGGGCCCCGAGGACCTCCGCACCCGCACCCAGCTGCGCGGGGAGTTCACCGGTAACCGCCCGCAGCCCGCCCCAGGACCCCAGAGGAAGGCTCTGGGAAGCCGGCCCCCACCTCCCCCCATCGGGGGACTCGGGGCCTCTCGGTGTTGACGCCCATCCCCAGCTCCGGTCCTACCAGCTGTGGGATGACCCCTTAGTGGGTGCAACCACGTGTCCCTCCAGAGTGTTCCTGGGCCCTTAGGAATGGCACCACCTTCAGGGGGGTGGGAATAAGCCCACGGGGAGACCAGAGGAGAGGCATCAGAGGTGCAAGCGACCGGGGTCGGGTGGGGGGGGCTGGTGGCAGCAGCCTCTGAGGCCTGCTGACTCCTCCTGTCCCTTCCCAGGGCTGCAGCTGCTGGACGTTCTGACACGTCTGCGGTGAGTCCCCTGCACCGTCCCCCAAAGCCAGGCTCGCCTTCCCCTGGGCCCCACACAGCACCTCCAGAGGGGCAGGAGAGGGCTTCTGCCGCTGGACCCAGGCCGGGTGACAACCCAGTGTGCCAGACGGGCCACTCTGCGGGGTCTCCCTGCCTGGGGCCTTGGAGCTGCCCCTGGAGGCTAGGGTTGCCTCATGCAGTGCAGGACCCCTAGCTGAATAAGAGGGCTCCTTCCGTGTAAGTATATCCCAGATGTCGTATGGGATATACATATGCCAAAGGTCACTGGTCGTTTATCTGAAATTCAAACTTATTTGGGGAATCCACGTAGCAGAGAACCCCCATCCTGGGCCTTCTCAAGACCACTCTCCTGGGTGGGACCCCAGCCCCGGGGATGCCAGCTGGGGAGTGGGGAGCCAGGGGGAGGAGCCTGGGCCTGTGGCTCTGCTGCTGAGCTGGCCTCGGGCTGAGGTGTGGCCACATGCGAAGCGTGGGCCACGCTGAGGGTCGTCCGTGCGTCTGTCCAGGGCCGGGGGAGGCTGGGGGGTGGGGGGCAGCGGCCTCAGCCAATCCGGCCCCCTCGCCCCAGGGATCTGGAGGACGCCGACCTGCTGATCCAGTTGGAGGCCTTCGAGGAGGCCAAGGCGGAGGATGCGGAGGAGCTTCTGCGCATCTGCGGCGGCGTCGACATGAACAACCACCAGGAAGTCTTCACTTCTGTGTTCCACAAGGTGACGACCCCCGGGACTGTGGCCTGGGCGCCGGGGCTCGGACACAGCTGCCTTCCCGACCCTTGTAGGCCCCACCCCCAGATGTGGAGACGCGAGGGAGCAGTGAGGGGTCAGGGGGCTGGAGAGGGGAGAGCCTGGCGCCTGGCGGTAGGTCCGGGCTGTCACAGGCACAGAGCCAGGGCCCCAGGACCCAGGAGGACAGTATCGCAAAGGCCTGGGCTGCCCAGAGGGAGCTGGACTGTCCTGGGCCCCAGGACTGTCGCTGGCTACCGCCAAATGGCCTGAGGGGCCCCAGGACCAGCAAGAGGCCAGGAGGCTGATCTCTGGTCCAGCTCAGGCCCTCCCTGGCTGGGACCTTCTGTCCTTCAAAGAAACCGTGGCTCTCATCCAGGCGCGAGCATCCCCAGGGGGCATCCAGAAACATCCAGAGACATGAGGGTTGCCACAGTGGGGCAGAGGGCACTATTGGCTTCACGGGGGCCGGACCAGCATCCCACAATGCACAAGGAAGCCCCCGCACGGAGAGCAGCCCCACCCCAAATGTCACCGGTGCGACGGTCAGGGAACCGTGACCCCAGCTCATCACCGGGGCCCTGCAAGCCATAGAGTGCTGATGGGGTGGACGTTCCCGGAAAGCTGAGGTGCTCCCGCTCACCCAGCCTCTGCCCCCCAGGTGAGCTGCTCCCCGGCGTCCGCCCAGCTGCTGTCCGTGCTGCAGGGCCTGCTGTACCTGGAGCCCACCCTGCCCTCCAGCCAGCTGCTCTGGGAGGCTCTGGAGAACCTGGTGAACCGGGCCGTGCTCCTGGCCAGTGACGGTGAGCAGGTGGGGCCCAGCGGGCACGGTGCCCACAGCCCTCACCCACCTCCCGCCCTGACCCCCCCCCCCCCCATGCATGGCCAGCAGGGTCTCAGACCACTGCGGGAGAGTAGCCGCCCCCTGCCTGAGGGCAGTGGCCACGCCTGTCCCACCTCCCCCTCCCCACCTCCTCCGGCCCTCGGCCCTGACCCCGGCACCCCCTCCCCAGTCCAGGAATGCACCCTGGAGGAGATGATGGAGCGGCTTCTGTCCGTCAAGGGGCGGCCACGCCCCAGCACCCTGACCAAGGCCCACAAGAGTGTCCAGGCTGACCTAGGCCAGGGTCGGAGGGGCAGCGTGCCCCAAAACAGCGGCGCCCCCAAGGCGGGGGTGGGGGGCCAGAGGCCCGAGGCGGACCTCAGCAGCCTGCACGCCGTCGAGGACCTGGTTGCTCCACAGCTGAAGGCCCCAGCCCCCCCACCTGCACCTCCACTCCCTGGTCCCACCACGGGGCCCCCTCCCCCACCCCCCCCACCTCCTCCTCCCCCCCCTCCCCCACTGCCAGGCCTGGGGGCCCCAGCGCCCCCACCTGCACCCCCACTCCCCCTGCCTGTCTCTGGCGGGGCCTTACCTCCTCCACCTCCACCGCTCCCTGGCACGGGGTGCCCGCCCCCACCCCCGCCGCCTGGCCTAGACGGGGGCCCCCCTCCACCCCCACCCCTGCCGGGTACCTCCGGCCCCTCTGCGGCGGGTGGCGTGGAGGAGGTCATCGTGGCCCACGTGGGCCCCAGCCTGGGCTCCTCCGCCTGGGTCCCAAGCCACCGGTGCGTGCACGCTCCCACTGTGCGCATGAAGAAACTCAACTGGCAGAAGCTGCCGTCCAATGTGGCGCAAGGTGAGCCCCCGCCCGGCTCTGACGTGGCGTGAGGTGAGGGCCCCCCAGGCTCCGTGAGTGGCTTCCTGCCCGAGTGGGGGTGCCGGCCCCGGTGGCCTGCGATACCGACTGGTAGTATGTGTGCTCACACCTGGGCCCCCGTGTCTCCCCCGCCCCCCCCCCAAGTGTGGGCCAGGGCCATTTGATCTCTGCTCTGGACTCAGCTCCTGGGAGGTCTGGGCAGGGCGGGGCGGGAACGGGTCACAGGTCACCTGTGAAGGGCCTCTCTTCCCACGTGCACCTTTGCAAGCCGATGGGTGGCTCCGATGCCACAGCCCCACAGCGCCCAGGCCCCTGGGTGCCAATGCCCAGAGAAGGTCAAGGCCGGGGCCTCCTGCCAGCCGGGTCACGGGCACGTATGCGTCCACATGCATACGGTGTGACAGCAACGGGGTGGCGGGGGTGGGGGGGGTGGGGGGGCCCCCCCCCCCCGGGGGGGGCCTCCCCCTCCCCCTCCCCTCCCCCTCCCCTCCCCTCCCCTCCCCTCCCCTCCCCCTCCGTCTGTCAAGCCGCTGGGTGGGTGGGCGCGAACCCGACCGGGGGCCCCTCGTCCACAGAGCACAGTTCCATGTGGGCCTCGCTGAGCAGCCTGGGGGCCGAGGTCGTGGAGCCGGACTTCTCCAGCATCGAGCGGCTCTTCTGCTTCCCCGAGGCCAAGCCCAAGGAGCAAGTGGCAGCCCCGGCCAGGAAGGAGCCCAAGGAGGTGGGGCCGGGCCGGGGCTCAGCCAGGGGCCTCTGCTGCTCCCCGGGCACCAACACCAGGGCGGGGGTGTTTTCCAGATCACTTTCCTGGACTCCAAGAAGAGCCTGAACCTCAACATCTTCCTGAAGCAGTTTCGATGGTGAGCGGCACAGGCGTCACAGCCTCGCCCCCGCCCCGCCCCCTCGCCCGCACCTCCCGCTGGGCTCTGCGGCGCCCTCTGCAGGCCGCTCTGGGAACTGCACGTTCCGTCCCTGAGACCCAGACATCCGCGGGGAACCCCTCTGGTGGCTCCGGCTGGGGAGCTCCCTGGGGTGCCTGAACCAGACGGCCCGTGTCGTGAGCAGCCCCCCGGAAGGGGGAGGCGGAGGGTGCTCTGGCAGAGAGGGAGTGTGGTAGTCGGCCCCCGGCCTCCTTACTGTGCAGCCGAGGCAGGTGGTTTGCCTTCTCTGTGCCCGGGGTGTGACCAGCGGAGATGTCACAGGCCGAGGGCAGTCCCCGACTAGCAGGGTCCCCGGGAGCCCACATGAGGCCCCTCTCCTCCCATCCCAACCACCCCCTGTCACCTGCAGCTCCAACGAGGACGTCACTGCGATGATCCGGGCTGGGGACACCACGAAATTTGACGTGGAGGTCCTCAAGCAACTCCTCAAGCTCCTCCCTGAGAAGCACGAGGTGAGTCAGGGAAAGAGACTTGCTAGTCCTGCCGGGGGCGGGGGGGGGGGGGCCCCACCGGGGGGCCGGGGGGCGGGGGGAGGGCTCCCGGCTCGCGGAGTGTGCCGGATGGGAGGAGAGCCGGCGTGAGCGGCCCCGGTAAGCCGGTCCACACAGGTGCAGGCAGGGCAGGGAGCTTCCTGGGAGGGACGGGATCCGGAACCCCAGGAGTGGTCTCCTGTCTGCAGGTTGAAAACCTGCGCGCATTCTCGGAGGATCGGACCAAGCTGGCCAACGCCGACCAGTTCTACCTCCTCCTGCTGGGCATTCCCTGGTGAGCGAGTGGGGGAGGGGTAGAGGGGAGGGGAGAGGGGCTGTGCAGGCCGTTCCCTCAGGACTCCGTGAGGAGCGTCACACGGGTCACTCGTGCAGCCGCCCGCTCTGAGAGCCAGGGGTGCCCCGCAGGGAGGCGGCCGCCCTCCGGTGCAGCAGAGCTGGTCCGAAGCGCCATCTCTGGGCCCTGCCCCGGTCCTGCTGAGGCCCAGGAGCGCGTGTTGGAGCGCCAGGCCGTGGGACCCCTCCCCGAGCTCTGTGTCTCAGCCCCCGGCCGCTGCCCACCCGCAGGTGGGGGGCCCCGTCCCTGATCTCCCGCTCTGTCCCCAGCTACCAGCTGCGGGTGGAGTGCATGTTGCTGTGTGAGGGCACGGCCGTCGTGCTGGACGTGGTGCAGCCCAAGGCCCAGCTGGTGCTGGCCGCCTGCGACAGTGAGTGGGGGCGGGGCGCTCGGCACCAGGAGAGGGAGCGGTCGCCCGCCAGAGACGCACGCAGTCGTGCGCACACAGAAACAGGCACGCGTGCCTTTGCGGGTACACACGTACGTGTGCACGTGTACACGCACGCACACGTGCAGAGGCACACACGTGTGCACAGACTCACCGCGTTCTCCAGATGAGGGATCAGCAGGAATACACCACAGCCACAGGGCAGAGACACGCGCGGTGGCCCCCCACTCCCTTCTTGGCCACGGGGCCAGGAGGGCCACCCTCCCCGACGCCCCAAGGGACAGTTAGCCGAGAACCAGGGAGGTCACAGCTACAACCTTCTAGAAGGTTCCTCCCAGCACCCTCATCCACAGAAGGGGGCGGGGGTCATCTGCCCCAGGGTCGTGAGGGTTCAGTGAGAACGCTGGCGGACCTGCTCCCCGAGCCCCGGAGGCTGTCCGCGCTGGGATTGCAGCCGAGCCCGGGAGGGAGCGTGGGGGAGGGGACCGAGGGGTGCTGCCCCCACGCCGCAGCCTCAGACGCCTCCCGACACCCGCCCCTCCCTCTGCCCTGGCGCCCTCCCGCAGGCCTGCTCACCAGCCACCAGCTGCCTGTCTTCTGCCAGCTGATCCTGAAGATAGGAAACTTCCTCAACTACGTAAGTGCGCTGCGCCCCCGGCCGCACCCCCAGCCCCAGGAGGCAGGACGCTCACTCCCCACCCCCGTAGGGCAGCCACACGGGGGACGCCGACGGCTTCAAGATCAGCACGCTGCTGAAGCTCACGGAGACCAAGTCCCAGCAGAGCCGCGTGACGCTGCTGCACCACGTGCTGGAGGTGCGCCCGTAGGGCGGCCCCGGGGGCCCGGGCATCCCTGGGGCCTGGGCGGGGCCATGGTGGCGCTCACCGGACGCGTTCTGTTGCAGGAGGTGGAGAAAAACCACCCGGACCTCCTGCAGCTTCCGAGGGACCTGGAGCAGCCCTCCCAGGCAGCGGGGTATGTGCCCCCCACCCGCCTCGCCCACGCCGGGACCCCCACCCCTGGTCCTGACCAGTAAGGCAGCCGGACCAGGCCGGGCCCCCAGATGCCCGTGGGACCCTCGCTTTCGGCCTGGGATAGGACCTCGGGTCCATCATGGCCTGATGGCCTGTCCCTAGATGATTTAGGGGAGGAAACGGAGGCCACGAAAGGGAGGGAGTGACCTGGTCGTGGCCACACCAGGGGCTAGTGCGACACCACCCTTCATAAGGTTGACCCTCACGGCAGCCCGTGAGCAAGGCCCATTGCACAGATGGCAAAACCGAGGCCCGGGGAAGTGGGGCTGCATCCACCTGGGTCACTCGGCCCAGAGGGGCAGCCCTGGGGAGGGTGGCCCGGGCCTTCCAACACCAGGCACACGCTGCTATGGGAGGTCCTCGGGTCTCAGAGCTGCAGAACCTTTCTCGGAGGGTCAGACTAGGAGGATGGGCCGAGGCTTTGGGGGTCGCTGTCCTGACACATCCCCCCAGCACCGCTTGGCCCTTCCCAGAGCCCTGATGTGCTTCCAGAAGCCTGTGGGTGTACGCGGTGAGGGCCCCCAGTGACCCCACGGGCGTGCAGGGTGAGGCCCCCACCGACTCCACAAGACTGGACCTCGGCTGTCACCTGACCCCAGCGCACTCTCGGGCACTTTTCAGGATCAACCTTGAGCTCATCCGCTCGGAGTCCAGCACCAACCTGAAGAAGCTTCTGGAAATGGAGAGGAAGGTGTCCTCCTGCATCCCTGAGGTGCAGGAGCAGTACGCCCAGCGCCTCCAGGCGAGCGGGGCTGGGCTCGGGGAGCAATGGCCCGGTGGTGTCCAGGGGCGGGCCCCTCCAGCCAGCGGGCCAGTCCGGGAGGGTGGAGCGGGCAGGGCCGGGTGAGTGTGGGGGAGGACGGGGCCAGGGCGACGGGCCCCGCGGCAGGGCGGCGCTGCTGTCCCTGGTCCGGAGGCAGCTCCTTTCCCCGGGGGCCGCGGTACCCAGTTGTCTGGTCCCACTGAGAAACCACCGCCTGTGGGGGCCCGTGCTGGCGGCCATCACCCTCCCCGGCTGTGTCCCTGTGACGGCAGGTGGACCCCCCCGCAAGGGGCCCTCCCAGGGCCGTGACCGTGTGCCCACGCCCCCAGGCCAGCATCGAGGCCTCCCGGGCGCTGGACGAGGTGTTCCAGGCCATCGAGCAGAAGAAGTTGCAGCTGGCCAGCTACCTGTGTGAGGACGCTCAGCAGCTCTCCCTGGAAGACACGTTCAGCACCATGAAGACCTTCCGGAACCTCTTCCTCCGCGCCCTGAAGGTGGGCCCGCAGCCCCTTGTGGACCTCAGGCGGGACGGCCGCCGAGGGCTGGGGTCACGGGCTCCGTGTTGGTCCCGCGCAGGACAACAAGGACCGGAAGGAGCAGGCGGCGAAGGCGGAGAGGAGGAAGCAGCAGCTGGCCGAGGAGGAAGCGTGCAGGCCGCGGGGCGAGGATGGGAAGCCCGGTGAGGCCAGGCACCGGCCAGGGGCCCGGGAGCCCCCACGGGGCTGCGCCTGCATCTGGCCCACGCTCCTCCCTGCCCTGGAGACCCGGCGGCACCTCGCACGCCTCCAGGCTCCAGGTCCCCTGGGCGGGCTCGGGGGGCCCCACGAGCCGCGTCTCTGAGGGTCCCTGGGGCTTCTCAGTCAGGAGGGGAGTCGGGAAGCAAGAGGACGTGTGTGTCATCGATGCCCTGCTGGCCGACATCAGGAAGGGTTTCCAGCTGCGCAAGACGGCCCGTGGCCGAGGGGACGCGGAGGGGGGCAGCAAGGCGGCTGCCGGAGACCCCCTGAGGGACAAGGTGCCTGGTGAGACCCTCTCCCACCTCCTCATCGCCATTTCCCGCCCTCCTCGCTGCCCGGAGCCTCCCCTCCTCCAGGGAGCCCTCATCCCCCCTGCCGTGGGAGGTGGGGCCAGAGGAGCGGCTCACCCTTCTCGTGCTGGGGTGTCTCTGCCACGACAGAGGGTTCCCCGCGGGTGTGACAGCCCCCAGGCGGGCCTTTGGCCAGAGATGGGCCAGCGGGCCTTTGACATCCGTCCCTGGGGCTCAGGGGTGCTGAGGGGGGCAGGGCGGGGCGCTGCACTCCATTCTGCATGGCTGCCACGGGGGCTGAGGGACAGGGGTGAAGTAGGCCCACACCCCGGGGCGGACAGTGGATGCCGAGGGCTGTTCTCCGGGAACCCCCACCTGGAGGCCGCCGGGGACGCCTCTGGGGCAGCGGGTGCTGCGGAACGGGGACGTTCCGGTAGAAGCAGATACGGAGGGAGGCCCCCCGCTCCAGCACACCCTAAGTGGGGGCGCCGTCGGGCTGGCCTGGGAGTTGGGCCCCACCCTCAGCGGCCGTGTCCCGTGTCCACAGTGGCCACCAGAGACCCTGCAGGAGACACCAGCCACCCTGCCTCTGAGCCCCACGGCAGGGACCGCGTGGATGCCACGGCCCCCGGCCCGCAGCCCACTGCTGACCCATCGGAGGAGGAGGGGCCCGGGCCCCTGGGGAGGCGTTCTTCCTGGTACACCGACGCCAGCGATTTCCTGGCCGCAGAGGACCCCCAGGCCCCCCAGCCCTCTGCGGGGGCCTGGCCGGTGGTGCTGGGAGGGGCTCAGGCCCTAAAGCCTCTCAGGGTCTCTGGTGACAAGCCCCCTGGGGCCACGGGGTCGAGCCAAGATGCTGAAGACCCCGCAGGCCCTCGGGACGCCTGCCTGGCCGAGGCCGACAGCACCGTCCACAGGCCGGAGGCTACAGGCCCGCGTGGCCACGGTGCCACAGGCCCCGGCGTGGCTGGGGACGGGGACCAGGAGGACACAGCCCCGGATTCTGCACTGGACACGTCCTTGGACAGGTCCTTCTCGGAGGACGCAGCGATGGATTCCTCAGGGTCCGGCACCCTCCCCAGGACCCGGGAGCGAGCCTCGAAGGGGACGGGCAAGCGAAGGAAGAAGCGCCCCTCAAGGAACCAGGAAGGTAACTTGGGGCTCCCCTCCCATCATCCTTTGTGCCCCGGAAGCAGGGCACCTGGGCGGGCAGGTCACACAGGGCCTGGGGGCACTGGCATGGGGTCAGAGCTCGTCCGTCCCACGCCAGAGCCCTGAGTCTCTCTCTGCAGCGGGCGAGTGGCCCTCATCCCCCGCCCCCCGAGAGCGTCCCCACGGCCTGGGGGAAGGAGGCCACGGCCCCACCTTCCGCGGGCGGGAAGGGCGACTGTGGGGCCGCTGCCGAGTGGCCGTGCCCCTGGCCCACTGGCAACCGCTTTGCGCGACATCAGGCAGGGAGTGGCAGGTGGGGCCGTCAGCCAGGGGCCACCTGAGGCCCGGCCGTGTTTGGCTCGGCGTCCAGCTCCCAGCTCAGGGTGGGTCAGGAATAAGCCGTTGAGTGCGTTTCTCTTATTTGGAAGCAGAGGTTGCCCCTGACTCTGACGATAATAAAACAAAAAGACTCTGTGTGATTCAGTGAGGTACGTACCCCGCCTGGCGCCTGCACTAACGGTGAGCAGAGGCGGGGCCTGGGCCTGGCCGCTCCTGGACGCTAACCCGCTCCCTGCAGCACCCCCCCCCCCCCCCCGGGCCTGACAGCAAGCCCCCCTGCCTCCTCTGCCGCTGGTGGTGGGACCTGCCAGCCCTCCGCCTCGCCCCCCCTCTCGGGAAGGGCGGGAGCCATGCCTCGCTTAGCTGGTGTCCCCGCTGCGGCCGGGTGCGACCTCAGAGCTGTGTGCCCAGCAGAGGGGCCTCAAGAGGGCGGGGTGGACAAGACCAAGTCAGGTGCCCTCCGGGTAGTGTCCCGACCAGCCTAGCTGACCGTGGGGTTTACTGACTCCCAGCCTCCGGGTGAGACCCTCCACAGGGCACACCCCAGCCCTCCTCCGGCCCTGGTCTGGCCACACGTCCTCCTGGGGGGCAGTGAGTGACAGGCCCTCTCCAGGGAGCGGGCGGGCCTCCCCTCCCTGGCCAGGTCCTGGAGGCCATGAATGGGTCGATAGGCACCTCCTGGGTCGATAGCACCAGGACCCCCGAGTACGGGCAGGACCGTCCGTGTCTCTGATGTGCCCAGCAGGCTCACAGACGCAGACGGACAGGCCTGGGGTCCCTGCTGCGCTCTGGACTGTGTCAGTGGGTGCCGATCTGGTGTGTCACGATGGGGGGGGGGAGGCGGCGTCTGGTTCTCCCCACACCTGCAGCCTTGCTGGGGCCGGCTCGGCTCCCGGCTCCGGGGCTTAGGCCTCAGCTGGTGCCCAGAGGAAGTCAGGGGCCCCCGTCTTTACAGTTTATCCTCACTGTCGGGGACAGCCTTCCGCCTGTCTGCTCCCAGGGTTACTTTCTGAGCTGGGCTGGCGTGTCCTTTACGAGCCGGGTCCGCCCCCACTGCCGGCCCCAGGTGTAGGGGACAAGTGGGCTGTGTGGTCCGTGGGTTGGCCTGCGGCTACATGTGCCCACTGCCCAGTGAAAGGCCGGGGTGCTCCCTCTGCTGCCACACAGCCCTCCCCAGGTCCCCCCCCCCCCCGTCCCCGGGGGGGCGGGGCGGGGACAGGAGGCAGGAGTCCCAGCCTCCTCATCTCCTCGAGATTTTATTTGCAAAAACGTCAACCCGACAGGAAGTTTGCAAGATCATAATGAACACCGCCCACCCTTCACCCCGAAATGGCAAAATCTTGCAAAAAATAGCAGTTATCAGCATTTGCTGCCAACTTTGAGCATTGCTCTCAACTTTATGAAACAATTTGAAAGTTCTAGACATCATAACGCTTGGCCCCTGAACCTGACTTCAGGGGTCTCCTGAGAGCAAGGCTCTTCCCCCCCCCCCTCACCCCCGTCTCCCAGGACGAGTCAGGGTCTGTCATGTGCAGCCCCAGGCAGGTGTCCCCAGGCAGGCCTGTCATACTGTTCACAGTTGTTTGGACTTTTTTGGAAATGAGGTCCTACCCAGGACCAGGCATCCAGCCTCGGTCTGTCTTGTGTGGCTCTGGGATTGTGGTTGTGGAAGACACCTTCACTCCAGGTGTTTCCCCTTGCCCCCGGCCCACCTGGTTCCCTATGGTGTTTGGGCAGGAATTCTGCACACGGGACGTGGGTCCCCCCGCCGACCCCAGCACCCCAGGAGAGCTCGGGGCCATTTGCCCTGTGGGCAGTGACCTTCACATCAATTAGCTGGTTAAGGTGGTGATTTTGAGAGACCCCTGCTGTGCGGTGCCCTGGGCGCCCCCCGCCCCTGGCGCTGTGTCCTGGCACCCCGCAGTGGGGCTGGGGTAGAAACCATGCTCTGAATGACTTTTTTCTTGAGATTATTTTTTTTAACTTTTTAATGTTTATTTTTGAGAGAGAGAGAGAGAGAGCGTGAGCGACTGGGGGAGGGGCAGAGAGAGAGGGAGACCCAGAATCCGAAGCAGGCGCCAGGCTCCGAGCTGTCGGCACAGAGCCGGGCACGGGGCTCGAACCCACGAGCTGTCAGAGCGCGACCTGAGCTGAAGTCGGGCCCTTAACCGGCTGAGCCGCCCAGGCGCCCCTTTCTTGAGATTATTTTTTCAATGTTTATTGTTGAGCCAGAGAGAGAGAAAGCGCTCGAGTGCGTGCATGGGAGAGGGGCAGAGGGAGAGAGGGAGAGAGGACCCCAAGCAGGCTCTGAGCTGTCATAACAGACCATGACCTGAGCCCATATCAACAGTCGGACTCCTGAGCCGCCCAGGCGCTCCACTTTGAATGACTTCCGACCTTTCTGCCCCCATCTTTCTCAAGCATGCTCCCCAAACCCAAGTCTGCTGCAGACGCTCGGGGGGCCTGGGACGGGCCTGGCTCTGGTGTGGCCGGGGTGGGGGGAGGGGCGTCGGGCGGGGTGCCAAGAGAGGGCCCCGGGACCAGAGGGCTTTAGTGGGCAGGGGACCTTGCAGGGCCAGTTGAGGGGGCATGCAGGTGGCAGGAACTGTCCAGGTGGGGACAGCGTAAGGGAGCAGGAGGGACACCGCTGGGGAAGCGCCGGGAGAGACAGCGGTGCCGGGGATCGGTGAGGGCAGACCGTGTGCTAAGGGCCAGATCCGGCCTGGATGGGTGGGCAGGAGCCAGCTGGCTGGGGGGGCATCCCAGCATCTTGCACCCGGAAGAGTCCTGCCGTGCAGGAGCGAGAGCCCAGGGTCAGAGCGGACCCAGAGACGGTAGGCCCACCGGGCAGTGGTGATGGGACAGCAGGAGCCTGGGGACCCCGACGCAGGTGCCTCGGCGCTGTCCCCGGCAGGTCTGCTCCTAATGATGCTTTCCTCTCGCCCCCCACAGGCCTCGGCCGTAAGCCCAAAGCCAAGTGAGCGTGCCCGCTGCCGGCCTCCACACAGCCGTGGGCCGCCAGACGTGTGGCTGAGCGGGGCTCCTCCGGGGCCAGGCTGGGACTGGGCCCCTGGGAAACCAAAACTCTGTGCCTTACCCTCCGGGGCCGTGGGCCTCCCGGAGCTTCCTGGGGTGTTCTGGCCGAGACCCCAGCAGGCACCAGAGCCCAGCCCCCCGCACGCCCCAGCCCCCTCGTGGTCCGCTTGCCGAATGCCGATGCCCACGCCGGCGCCTGCATGCTCCCCAGCCCCTGCCCGCAGGGGTGAGGGGCAGTGGCCGTGTCCCCAGGGCACCTTGAAGCTGGCACCCTGCCCTCCGGCCACCTGGTGCCCAGATGCTTCTGGAGACAGGCCCTCGAGGACCTCTCCCTGCAGAGCCGTGGGAGCCCCCGCCCCCGCCCGCTGCCTCCTTACCGAGCCTCAGTCCCCCGCTCCCCGCTCTGCCCCCCAACCTGCTTCGCCAGGCCGGAGCAGAGAGTGGGTTTTCACCGAAATAGGGTTGTTCGTTGATTCCTGCTGTCCTGCGGTAGCAGAGTTGGGTACAGGTGGGTGGGAGGACCCTGGGGCCTTGGGTAGGGGCAGGCTGGCCAGCATTGCCACAGATACGCCACGGTCCCCCTACTCAGCAGACAGGATCCACACTGGGCACGCCCAGCCCTGGGGGCAGGAGGGCATCTGTTCTCACTGCCTCCGCCAGGCCCTCGCCACCCTTTCGACAGAGTGACCCAGCCTGCAGCCGCCGCTGCCTCCGGCGGGGTCGGGCGCGCCCCCCCCCCCCCCCGCCAGGCCGAGAGGAGACCCAGGGCCCACCCCGGGAGGGCCAGCCTGCCCGCGCCCCCACGCCCGCCCCAGGTGTGCCCTGCCACCCAGGCTAGCATCTGGAGAGCCTCAGACCAATAAACAATAAAGAGCAGAGCCAGCCCAGCGAGGGCCACGTGGTTTCAAGAAGCTGTGGGCGAACGTGCAGGGGCTGGACGGTGCCCGGAGGGGTCTGCCCTCCAGCAGCTGTGATGCGCTGGGGGGAGGGGGGGGGCGAGCGGGCCGGAGCCCACAGGGCACCCAGAGTGGCCTGAGCAGACGGTAGACACCCCCGAGGGCGGGTGACACCCCCGAGGGCGGGTGAGGCGAGCAGGGCTCTTGGGGGCAGTGTACATACGGCTCACCCGCTGTGGGTGTGTAATTCGGTGACTTTTCAGCAGATGCACGAGACGTTCAAGCACCAAGATCCTATTCTAGAATATTCCACCATCCCCCAGCCCCCTTAGCGCTCACTCCGCATCCCCCCTCCCCCAGCCCCCAAATCTGCCTTCTGTCTCGTGGATTTGCTTTCCGTGGACCATTCGTATGAACGGAATCCCAATACGTGGCCTTCTGTGACTGCTACGCTGCACATGGCGCGCTCTTGAGACTTCTCCGTGTCGCAGCGTGTGTTGGCACAACACCCCTTTTTCTAGCTGAGTAACACCCCGCCGTCTGGCGGGGCCTCGCCCTGCTCCCCCTTCGTGTGCACGACCCCGCGTTGTTCCGGCGCGAAGCGTTTGCGCGTATCCGCACGCCTGTGTTTGCGCCTACGCGTGCGCTCGTTAGGCTGGGGCTACGTGACCGACGTCTTAGGAAACTGCGGCCCGCCCTCTTCGCCCCTGCCGCATGCTGTCTTCACCCCTGCCGTGCAGTCTTGCGCTCAAGGGTGCAAGCGTCCTGCAGGCATCTGTGGTGTCTGCGTCCTGGACCACCGTGTACGATGTGGTTCATGGTGGAAACCCCATGGGGCTGAGCCCGAGGTCACACGGTGAGGCCCCCGAGCTTGCTGACTTGTTCCTCCACCACCCTGGTGACAGGCCCCCCGTGCACAGGCCACGGCAGAGGGGATGTGTTCTAATTCAGGCAGGGCCGTGTGACCGGCAGGGCCCCAGCTGTTGGGCCAGGACAGGGCTGTTTATAGAAAAGCCCAACCCCGCCCCCTCCCACCAGGCCCTCTGGCTATTTATAGACCGGGCTTGGGGGAGTCGGTGCCCCTGCCGGACAGGGTTTGGCCCTGCAGATCCCGTGTGAGCCCCCATGCTGTCCCCACTGAGCCCCAGGCTCCCCCAGGAAGGGCTCCAAACTAGCACCCCCCCCTTCGGCAGAGAGAAACATCCCCATTTGACGGGACTCGCACATCCCCTTCCCCTCCGGGGCTCCTGTGGCCTTTCGGAAGGCTGGGCTCCTTCTTCTGCAAATGCAAACAACCCTTCCCGCCTTCTCGGTCCCTTCTGCTACAACCATGCCTTTCCGACTTTTCCGTGTCTACACAGCCAGTTCCCTTCCCAGCCCCCACTCCCAAAAACACCCAAGCCCCCTGCCACAGCCCCTCCAGGCTGCCCGAGGCCTTGGGCCCCACCCTCAGCCTGCTCTGCCTGGCCTTCCAGAAGGCAGCCCGCCTGCCCCTGCACTACCAGCCGGGGCGGAGGGGGGGCTGTCGCCCAGGGGGGCCAAGGACGGGAGGCCTGCCCCTCGCACCCCACTTGTACCTGCACCCTGGTGTTTGCCCCACAGCAACTCCGGGAGGAAGGAACCGCGGTGTCCCCGTGTGAGAGAAGAGGGTCTGGGCCGCGGAGGGGTGGGCCGAGGAGGGGACAAACGAGGGGCAGGTTGGCAGTGCAGTCCTGAGCTGGGACTCTCTGTGAGTGACTGTGTGGCAGCCAGAGCCTGCTCTCTCTTCCTCCATGGGAGCTCTGGTCCCCCCACCGGAATCCACGGAGCCCCGCGCTCCCTGAGCCCTGGCCACAGGTTAGTTGCTGGGCTCTGGGGGCCTCTGTACTGAGACTGCCTCCCCCCCCCCCCCCGCCGCCCCCAGAGGGAACAAGGTGAGAGGCTAAGAGTGTGCTCCTGCCCCCCCTCCCGGGGTCCATCCCTGGCCCCATCTCCCAGTGGGGTGAGCCACACCCAAGCTGAGTCCACTCAGGATGTGGCGCGTTCCCGGGAGGCCACTCAGGGCATCCAGTTGGGAGCACGGGAGCCCAGCAATGGGATGCAAATCCTGTCTGGAAACCCAGTCCCTGCACAGGCTGGGCCAAGAAAGGTGTCTCGAGTGGAGCCTCTTGGAGACCGTGGCCGTGTGGGGGTTGGCCAGCATCCCTGGCTGTTTCTCTGCTGGCCAGGTGACCCTACCATCGCCGGTCCTGTGTCCCTGGACTCTCGGGCCCTGCGGACCAGAGGCAGCACAGCCCGAGTGGGGCCTGCCTGCCCCGTGCTGGACGCCAAGCCCCTGAGAGTGTGCGTGGGTGTGCTGGGGGAGGGGACAGCCGCGCGCTCTCTCTTTGGCCACCAGAGTGCGCGCTTGGGTCCAGGGACCCAGGTTCACCTCAGGGCAGGTGCGCTGCAAGCCCCCAAGATGCAGTCCGCCCCCCCCCCCGCCCCCAGGTGCGGTGTGAGGACACGGCTCCCCTTTTACAAGCCCCACCCCCACCCTGGAGAGGGCCCCCCAGAGTCTCTAAAGCCCTGAGGTCGGAGGCTGGTGGGGAGCCGGTGGAGGGCTCCCCAGGCCCCGCCTGGGGCCGGGAGCGCAGACGTCCCCATCCGCCTTCCCGAGGGAGAAACCTGGGCCGCCGAGCGCTCTCGCCGTCGTTGTGCCCTCACCTCCATGAGTAAGCGTCCGCGGCCCAACTCGGCTCCCTGGTGGTGGCTGGGCGGGCGGGGGGCGGGACCCGGCAGCCTGGAGGTCACCGAGACGCGCCACCGCACCGGCCAGGCCCGCCCCCGGCCCGCCCCCGGCCCCGGGCCGGCTCCTTTTAATGGTGCGGCGGCCAGGCCCTCCCGTGGCCCAGCGCAGCCGAGGACCGCACCAGCATGTCGGGAACCCGAGCCTCCTCCAATGACCGGCCCCCCGGCTCGGGCGGCGTCAAGAGGGGGCGGCTGCAGCAGGAGGCGGCGGCCACCGGCTCCCGGGTGACCGTGGTGCTGGGCGCGCAGTGGGGGGACGAGGGCAAAGGCAAGGTGGTGGACCTGCTGGCCACGGACGCCGACATCATCAGCCGCTGCCAGGTGCGGGCCCCCCTCCCCCCGGCACCCCCCTCCTCCCCGCTCCCGGGGACCCTCTCCTCCCGCGCCCTGACCTGGCCACGCCTCCTGGATACCTTCCCTTCCTGGACACCCCGACCCTCGCACACGCACACACTCCCCTCCCCCGCCCCCTCCCTCGGGGACCGCCTCCCCCGCCCAGCCCCACCCCTTAAGGCCGGGGGCCAGGGCAGAGCTATAAATACAAGTGCTGAGTTGGGGACACCGGATCCTCATGGGGTGGGGTGGGGTGGGGTGGCGCCCCCAGCTTCTGTCTGGTTTGAGACACCCTCCCTTCTCATCCTGTCTGGGTCTGGCACTGGGCCGGCCAGCGGGGTGGCCCTGGGGCATCAGCCAAGAGGAGGCAGAGGCAAGGGCAGGACAGGGGGCCAGGACCCGGAGGAAGAGGGACCAGGGGCAAGGAGGGTCCCGGCCAGGCTCAGGGGGAAAGGGAGGGGCGACGGACGGCTGGCCAGGGTGACCCAGGGGCTGGCAGCGCCACCGGGGAGCCGGACACGGGCTCTGTCCCCAAGGGCCCCGGGTGGCCCCTGCCAGCTATGGGCTCCCTCCGGGCCGCTCCCTCGGAGCCACTGCCCCTCTACCAGAGCGAGAGCCACGCTGCTGACCGGATAACTTAGAGCTCAGGGCACAGACGGGTGGGCTTTACGCTTCGTGCTTTGGCTCCGCTGCGGTTTGGAGCCATGCCCAGAAATGCTGCTCCAAGTGGGGCGGGGACACCCCTGAGCTCCTCTGCCTGGTCTGTACCCTTATCCCCTGGCCCCTGGCGGGAGGGCCCAGGCTGGGGCATGCCCCCGGGGAAAGGGTGAGCCCAACGCTTGGCTCTCGGCACACGCCAGCCGCTCTCTGTGCCCACTCCTGTGCCCTCCGGGCAGTGGGTTCCCGGAAGGTGCTTCCTGGGATCGTGAGAGGCCCCCACCCTCCGTGCCCTGAGCCTGGCCAGCGAACCCATTCCTGTCCCCCTGCTCCTGGGCACACGGCGCCACGGCCCTCCGTGTAACCTGCCGGCCCCAGTGAGCCTCACGCGTCTGTCTGTGGCCCGTCTCCCTCCTGAAGAGACTGGGGGCCTTTGTGGGCTCTCCTCGTTCTGGAAATGGTTCTGGAGTGGGGCCTCCCTGCTCTGCCACCTGGGCCAGCAGGCCAGGCCCTGCCCTCTCCCGTCCATCACCAGGAAGCGTCCCCGACGGGACCAGCCACGGGCAGAGCAGGCTGGCCCCCGTCGGACTTCTCACACTGAGATCACCCGCGTCTCTGCCTGTAGGAGCCCCGGCGCCCCCACCCCACCCCCCTCCAGCCTCCTGACAAGCCGGGAAAGTGAGGCCCGGAGAAGTTGAGGAATGGGAATAACCAGCACGTGTGGGCCCTCACGTGTGCCACACACCCGTGGAGACGGCCCTGGCGTCCGGCTGCCTGCTGAGGCGCCAGCCTCTGCCCTGGGGAAGGCTGCCTCTTACTCAGGGTGCGAACGCATGAAGCCCAAAGTCACGGCCGCCGGGTGCACAGAGCCACACGGAGCCGTGACCCCGGGAGCCGGGCAGCACGTGGGAGCGAGGGGCCGAGGGAAGCGGACGGCGGGCACGTGCAGTGGGCAGAGCGGGCCGGGCCAGGAGTCCCGTCTGGGCGGCTGCCTGGAAGGGCTGAAGCCGGCCAGCCCCGGTGACCAGAAGGGTCACCTGGCCTGTCACTTGGGCCCGGGGCCGTCCTGCGGGGCGGCTGCTGACTGGCGCCACCCTGCCTCGGCTCGGCCGACCGTCCTCCGCCAGCAGGCCTGTCTCCTCCGTCTCGCACTCAGCACGGCCGGGAAGCCCTCTGCGGCCCTCGTGGTCTGAGGCCGCCTGCACCCCCACCGCTGTCCTGTTTCTCTCCCACCCGTCGTGT